AACTTATTTTGGATTTCCTTCTTTTTAAGAAGTATACAATTCAGTGACTTTTAGTAAATTTGTAGTTGTGTCTGATTATGGTAATCCAGTTTTTAAATATTTCCATCATCCCCCAGAGTTCTCTCATCTCTGGTTGCTGTTAATTTCTGCTCCCGTCCCCAGCCCAGGGCAACCACTGATTGCACGGCTATCTGGATATTTCGTATAAAGTGAATAATATATCATCTTTTTGTGTCCTGGCTACCTCCACGTACCACAATGATCTTGAGGTTCTCGGATGTGTTATTACATAGTACCAGTAGTTCTTTTTAATTTCTGAATACCAAAAAGCCAAAACCAAACCCACTGTCATCGAGCCAATTCTGGCTTCTCGCCACCCTCCAGGAGGGCGTGGAACTGCCCCTGTGGGTTTCAGAGGCTGTGCCTCACCAGGAGAGCACAGAAAGCCTCGTCTTCTTCCCAAGGAGCAGCTGGTTTCAAACGACAGAGCTTGTGGTTAGTGGTTCAGCGTGTGACCCACCGGGCCACAGGAACCTGTCCTATGAGTGTGCATATCACATTACAAAAAGCAATTCATGAGTTGACAAGACATTGGGATTGTTTCCAATTTGGGGTAAAATGAATAAAGCTGTTATGAGCATTTGTGCACAACTCTTTATGTGTTTTCATTTCCCTGGGGTAGATTCCTATTTTTAACATGTTTAAGAAGCTGTCAAAGTCTTTCCCAATGGGGCTCTGCATTTTGCATTCACATCAGCAATATCTGAGGGCTTACTTCCCTACGTGCTTCCAAACACCTTTCTGATGATAGCTGTTGTAGTGGTTGTGTAGCAGCACATCATTGTGGATTTCATTTGCATTTTCTCATCACTAGTAATGTTGAGTGTGCTCTGTGTGCTTATTAGCTTGAGTTGGATAAATTTTCAATTGTTTCCTCTAAGCTTCCATCTATCTTCATGTTCCCAACGCATTCTTAGAATTAAATGAAAATAAACTCCAATAAAACCTCTACCCTATTTACTTTTACAGTGTCTCAGCTCTGAGTACTTCCCATCTCGCTGTTGCCCTATGACCACACCTGCCTTACACTCACCAGCCACAAAGCATCAAGGATTATGATATTCTGACCAAAGGCCATGGTCTTCACGCCAGAAACAGTCTTACGCACTGTGGCTTATTTTGTAAAAGAGGACCACTGAGACATCACCTTAAGTTTTAAAGATATTTACTTTAATCTCAGTTCATGCTCCATTTGCCCAGAGTTTGTTACAAAGGAGAAGAGGAGATGGCTGGGGACCTCACCGACTGGGTCGAAGACAAAGCCCTAGAAAGAGGCGATCAACAAAGAGGGAAACGGAGAAGGCAATACCAGGAAGGTGGTTAGGCGAGCAGGGAAGAGGGGCCATGATGGGAAGGCGGCAGCTCATTCTGGAGGTCTCTTCCTTCAGCATCTCAACTGCATGAAGGCGGATGGATTCAAAGTCTGCATACCACCACTTCCTGACCTCTCTACAGTCTTGTGTTGCTGATTACACACGTGATCTCCCCATTCAGTCAATGATTGGTCTTGGGATGGGTTTTCTAGAGAAGCAAAACCAGCTCGCGCTCTCTCTCTTTCTCTCTATCATCTGTATCTCTAACTAGATCTGTCGATATAGATTTGAGAGAAACTTGATCACACCTCACATTCCCTTTAGACTGAAGGCTTCATGAGGACAGTCTATGTTGCTCCTCGCCATATATGCAGTGGCTAATACAATACTCATATATGGCTAGCTTTAGGTGTAGGGGGGTGGGAAGTTCACTGAAGACAAAGTAACCATTTAATACATTGGTTATTCCATGAATTCACCTAGGACCAGGAAGGGGGATCTCGAGAGATCATAGGCTTTATGGGACACAATAAAGCAAAGAGATTCACTGCCCCCAGACTCGATGCTGACTCATAGCGACCCTGTCGGTGTAGAACTGCCCCTGGGAGTTTCGGAGTAAACAGATATGTTTACAGAGCAAAAGGCCCTGTTTTGCTTGGGAGCAGAGTGGCTGGTGGCTTTGAACTGCGATCCTTGCAGATCGCAACCCAATGGGTTAACCAATACTCCACCGGGGCTTCTCATGGGACCTAATAAAGAGTTTAAAATTATTGCGTACTCTGAGAAGCCATTGAACCATTTTTGTGGAACAGTGAAAATGTCTTTGAAATGTTTTTTCCACCTGGTTGCTCTGTGAAAGTGCATTGTGGAAGGGCAGCATCGGAAGTGGGCGGAGACGAGATTATTGGTGAGAGTTGATAGAAGTTTAGAATAAAACGTTCCAACGGCGATGGTAATAATCGGATTGTAATACGCTTTAAAGTTGGAGCCAATAAGACTCAAGGCAGGGGGTGGGTGGGAAATTAAGGTTAAAGATCAGGTGTTGGGCACTAATGGTTTTGCCATTTTATTGAGGTGAGGAAGTTTGGAAGGAGCCAGTTTCAGGGGAGTTCAAGAGTGAGGCTTTGGAGAAGTTGAATTTGAGGACCCGATTAGACATAAGAGTGATGGTGTTGAGTAGGCCGTGGAGTATGAATCGGAAGGTCAACCCTGGAGACCACAAATTTGAGAGTTATCCGGATATTAATTGCGGTACATCTGGCTCTAGGACCGCTTGGTATAGACTGAGAAGAGAAAGGGACTGAGCCTAGGGACATCTAGGGTTCTGAGGACTGGATGGGCTATAATTCAGAGGTCTGGGGCTCAGAGGAGATGCCAGCAAAAAGCAAGGCTACAGGAAACCGAGGCAAGGATGTGACCAAGGCAAGGGCTACACTTTCTACTTCTGTGTGCTTCTCTCAGCGAACCTGCTTCAGGCTAGAATCACAGTGTTCAGAAACCGTTCCCTGAAGGAAAAGATGAACAAACAAAATGCTGGAAAAGCAAGAAGGCATTCTGCCATACCATACACCTCTTCTGACTGTCCATGCCAAAGTATAAAATAGTGTTCCTGCCTCAGCCCCGGTCCCTTCTGAGATGGAAAGTTCCACACCTGGCAAGCACTTACTGGGAGGTGTTTTTTTAAATTTTTTTAGAACACTATAAATTACAGGTTTGGATTATAGTCTTCTTTTGTGTAAGTGCAGATAGCTTTAACTATTTACAAGCAAGTGGGAAACTATCAGAATCAGTATGTTCCTGTGGTATTGGGTTGTTTTGTTGTTGTTGTTGTTGTTTTTCATTAAAGGACACCAACCTTCATCCTTGGCAATCCATCAAGACATTATTTCTAATGCCAACAGGAGTGAAATGATTTGGGGCCAATTTGAAACAAATTGCTCTATTTTTTTTCCTGTCTGTCTCTCAGGTGAAGTACTTGCCTTTAAAACTCTTCCTGGAGTATATCCAATTGACCAAAGAAAACACAGGCCCCAAATGGAAACTCTGGAAGAATAAGTAAAGACCATTAAATAGTTTATCCATTGGTTCTTGGGTTCATTTTTGTCTCATTAACATTTTCCCTAATGTTGTTTGATATCATTCATGCTCCAATAATGGTATGATTTTTTTTAAAGATCGGTGCAGAGAATATGGAATTCTAAGCAAGACTTTCCCAATTCAGCAATAAATCATTGCCACCACAGATAGTTAGGAAAATTGCAAAGTTTGGTTCTTTAAAAGTATTTGGCACTAGCAAGTATTTCAATGACTGGAGTTAAATGGAGACTTAAAAGAAAACTTACCCTACTTCATGGCAAAAACTCACAGGGCCATGTAGTATGAGTATCAGACCTTTACAGTGTGGGGCTCATACAGGCTGCTGACGTCAGTTCTGGGCACTGGCGTTAAGAGCGGTAGCATGAAATAGAGTTGATGAATTAGACAGAAAGGGCAGTCCATTTCAAAGTGCTCTCAAAGGACAGTACGGAAAAAATAAAGGGCTGTGGCAGCAAATTAAACCTTGACAGCCCACCAGCTGACATTCGAAATATCAAAACGCGAGTTGGGAGAGATGAAAGTTGCTGCCCAGTCTGTGATGTTTCCCCATTGTCTTTTCGTTTGGAGGATGAACGTCACTCTTCACCCAGGACATTTTTTCTTTCTTTCTCAGAAAGTGTGGAATGCTGGCATGGCAGAGTTCTAAAGTGATACTCCTTCAAGGTCTGTTAAAGCTACATACGTCTTTCAAACGCCCTTCGCCCAGGGGTGGTCAGCCCCCAGACCAAGAGCCCTCCAGCCAGAGAAAGAACAAGACTAAATCCTCCCTGGAGATAACCTGCCTGCAGGCCTCTGAGACAGCGAGAAGAAGGTACTACTGTTCAGTCTGGTGTCATCCGAATCGTCTTCCTGGCCCCAAATAAGTTGCCGTCCCTGGAAAAAGAGAGTGGGACCTGTGCGAGCTTCGTCCCAGCCTGCGCCCCTAAGTTGAGGAACTGTAAAGAACATGCTTCTAAAGGGAAAAATGCTCCCTGTATCTTAACGGTACAAACACTGGGGTCTGTGTCTTGGTGGGATCACCAACGATGAATCCCATGAATTCCCTCTTTGTAGCGCACACGTCTGGCCATTTCTTTTCAGGAACCAGGGATTTTAAAAGCAGCAAACGCTGGCTTTCTTAGATACTGCAGTTAGTTTTATACAGAATATAAAATATGGAGAGCAAACTACCGCATGAATAAAAATCCTACCTCCTTCATCATCCTTCTATTGCTCTGACGGGGGAGGCAACGAGGCCCCAGTGGGTGAGACCAGCGTCGGAGTTACTGTGGACACGAAGCATGAATCACCATGAAGAAGCTGCCTCTGTCGAAAACCTATGAGTAAATGACATTCCCCCAACAAGGAATACACATTTTCTATTCTCTCCCAGTCTGACTCTTTTTTATACCCTAGCAGTCGTATCTTTTTCATAGTGCCAGCTTTCCTCCGGAAAGCTATTGGTCTTTCTCTTCTGATTCAACATGTACCGACATGTATGCCCTTATCTTTAGCAACAGTTTGGTGTTGAATAAATAACATGAGACATACCTTTTTTGCCTTCTTCTTTACTTTTAGTATTCTTGACCGAGGAATGGTCTTAAATGCTCCAATTCACTGGGTGGATTTGGGCTAGAGAAGAGAGGAGGTTCTGGAAGAAGGTACTTCACAAATGAGCCTTTGTCTGCCTTGTCTCCTGCCTGGATTGACAGGCTCCCTGCTCCAGCCAGGACTGGGGGGAGGAGGAGAGTGGAAGGAAGACAGAGCTGTAAGCACTGCCTCCTTAGACCCTTCCAAAGCAGGCAAAAATGACCTAAATGGCTCCTTTGCCGAAAGAAAGAACTCGCCCACACAAGAACCTCAAGAGGCAGACGCTTGGAGCAATAAATATAAAACCTGAGAGATTTCCAGAGGACACAAGACAGTGATTTTCCCTTAAAATTTAGGGGGTGGAGAGAAAAAGAAGAAAAATAACGAGGAGGAGGAGGAGAATGCAGAATTGCTGATATAATTTTAAAAGATAGCTGAACATTTCTGCTTTCACGAGGTGGGGAAGAGAATGAGGAAGAAAAGAGCGGACGGAATATGGGATGGGTAATACAATTTAGGATGATAGCTGAGCACCTCTTCTCCTTTTCGAATTTCTCTCTCTCTCTCTCTTTCTGTGTGTTTCACCAAGTTTGCCTCACCAGCAAGATCTCTTCGCTAGAAAGCAAATTCCAACTCAGCGCTCATCTCTCCAGCTCCTCACCCAGAAAATCCCTGTCAGCCACTAGAAAGCAACACTCTAATGACCGAGACAGAAGCCTAGTCTGTGTCTCAGGAATAAAGGCCCACCTGGAACTTTACTGTTCTGAGAACACTATATTGGAAGCATACCATCTGTTACTTATCCTTTCCTGGTTTGTTTCTCTTTGAATTCCATTTGGAGAATTCAAATAGGAAGATATGAAGATAAAGGAGAGTGAAAACTTCAGGAGATTATAGGTTGTTTAGAGAATGAGTAGAAGCCAGGAATGTAAAGTTAGAGAGCTAGTTAGAGGCAAGTTCGTGAGTGAAATAGTCCGGGTAGACTAGAGAAACAAATTCATAGGCACACATAGGTGTATAAGGAAGAGGTTTATATACAAGAGCAGCTGACTATTGAGAAAACATCTCAGCCCAGTCCAGATCATGTCCATAAGTTTGATACTAGCCCATATGTTTGATACCAATCTACAAAGTCCTCTTCAGACTCATGAAACACATGCAATGGCACTGAATGCAGGAAGATCACAGGCCAGTGGGTGCAAAGTCAGTGGTGGTATAAGCATCTTAGTGCTGGCAGGGGTCTCCTCATGGCTCCTCCAGTTCCCAGGGCTGCCTCAGGGTAGATCCATGTGGCTTCTCCTCAGGGATGTCTTGCAGGAAGTGAGCAGAGAGAGAGTCTCTCCTGTCTCCAAGGAGGAAATCCAGGAGTTCCCAGAATTCTAAGGAGAAGGCCAAGCCCACACAGAGGCCTCCTTGGTTATATCTTGATTGACAGGCCAAAGTCCATTCCTTCACTCATAATCCTCTCACATTGACACCAGATTATGCTACTACCACAATGAGGTACCTCATATGCGAGGCGAAAATTTCTGAATTTTATCCTGAACCTGACGGGCCAGTGATAAAAACTAGTAACAAGAATGTCCACCTTGGCTGCAGTGAGAAAGAAGGATGGTGGGGAGCAGAGAGACAGGAGCCAAAGATAACAGAGGCCCTGCCATCATCTAGAAGAGAAGCTAGTGAGGAAGTAAAGCAAAGGGTTTGGTGCTTTTGTTTAGGGTTGAGGAACTTGAATGGGGTACAAACAGGTAGGAAAATGTCTGTGAATGTTAAATTTCAGGAGTCACATGTGCATATTGCAATGCTCATTTTGTCTCCTTGTCTCTGAATCCATAGTTTTTCACAGTAGTTCATTCCTTTCTATAGACAGTCATAATAAAATCCATACACGACAGCATTGCGCTCCTTGTGTGCGAGTTCAGGCTTCTGGAGCATGCTCCTGGTCACATTGGAAATTTTTCCTTTAAGAAGCACATTAGGACCATGACTTCCTTGTCCCTGTTCTAAAACATTTACTGATTGAAACTTGAACATTCTGTCATCTCTAGAGAGAATTATTAAACATTGCTATGTTTTAAAAAGTGTATTGTTATATCCTCAGGAGGTAAAAGAGCAATGGCTAATGGTACTGGAGGAAGAAATTCAAACTACACTGAAAGGATCAGACACCATCAAGGCTCCATGAATTGATAGAACACCAATCGAAAAGTTTCAACAAGCTGATAAAGCACTGGAAACACTCACTCAACTATGTCAGGAAATTTGGAAGATAGCTACTGTACTTGGCCAACTGATGGGAGGAGATCCATTTTTGAATTCATTCTCAAGAAAGGTAACCCAGCAGAATGCTCAAATTACAGTACAACATCAGGAACATCACATGCAAGTAAAATTTTGCTGAAGATACACCAAAATCAACTGTAGCAGTATATTGACAGGGAGCTGCCAGAGGTTCAGGCCAAATTCAGAAGAGGACATGGAACAAGGGATATCATTGGTGATGTTACATGGCTCTTCGCTCAAAGCAGATAATACAAGAAAGATACTTACTTGTGTTTTATTTACTATGCCAAGTCATTCCACTGTGTGGACCATAAGAGACTATGGATAGCCTTGGGAAGAATGGGAACTCCAGAACACTTCAGAACCTCTAAATAGAAAGCTTGAGTCACAGTCTGACCTGGTGGAACAAACTCCAAATGTACTATGAGTTGACATTTCTGTCCATTTGGGAAGTTGATGGAAGTCCAGAATGAGGTTTGCTGTCAATCAACATTTCACCTTTTTTGAAACAAGAAAGCCACTTGGATACTTGAGTTTTTCCCATAGTGCTCTCCTTGTAACCTGTGCCCAACATCCCAACAGTTTCTGCAGCATTTTTCTCAAGTAGGAAAAAAAATTTCGCAGCCGCATGCTGTTCTTAAATCGGCCATCACAAAAAATGAGGTTTGAGTGAAACTACTTTCATGAAAAAATTCACTGTGAACCCAGAGAACCTTCTGAGGCAATGTCACTGGGTGCACTAACTCTGAGTTGAGTTGTTCAAAGCTCACCTAGTGGGGAAAATGCAAAATTCCCACAATTGGACCAATAGGTAACATCATGATAATGGAGAAAAGATTGTCGTTTTTCAAAGATTTTTGTCTTGCTTGAATCCACAATCAATGCTCATGAGAGCAGAAGCCAAGAAATCAAACGATGCATTGCACTGGGTAAACCTGCTGCACAAGGCCTCTTCAGAGTATTGAAAAACAAGGATGTTACTTTGAAGACTAAAGTATGCCTGACCCAAGCCATAGTATTTTCATGTCTCCTATGCATGTGAAATTTGGACACTACATTTGGACAATTAAGAAGATCTGATGCATTTGGATTATGAGGCCAAAATGTTGAACTGTCAATAGAACAAACATCTATCTTAGAAGAAATACAGCCAAAATGTTCCTTAGAGTCAAGGATGGTAAGACCTCATTTTATGTACTTTGAACATGTTGCCAGGAGCGACCAGTCCCTGGAGAAGGACATCGTGCTAGGTAAAGTAATGGTGCGAGAAGAAAAAAAAAAAGGAAGACTGTTGACAAGATGGATCGACACAGTGGCTGCTTCGATCGGCTCAAACATAAGAACCATGCAGGAGACGGAGCAGGACCCAGGTGCGTTTGGGTGTGCATCACTGTGAGCCGTCACTATGAGCCGGAATAGGGCAGCTACGAGGCGGAGTCAGCGTGAAGGCGCCTAACAGCAAGCATGGCTCCGTCCACCCTCCGCATGCATGCTCTTCTCCGGAAACCCCTTTTCATTGGTATCATCATATGTCAAAATAAAGTGCAGTGTTCCTGTGAAGACTGGGGAAATGGCAAATGTTCTGTTAACTACACACTGACCCACTCCCAAAATACATATAGTTTGGCAAAAAGAAAAAGAAAAACCTAATGAGATTCATCGTGGTATTCATTCCAGAGCTGTCCATGTGGGAAGCGGTTGACTAGCAAAGCGATGCCTGGGATTGGAGAGTTTGCCCTTGTGGTTTTTAATTTGGACTCATCTGAAATCACTATTGGCTTTCTTTTTCATGGAGAACCCTTTTTTTTTTTTTTTAGATCTCGCTTAATTACTCAAGTCTCTTGCTGAACCCTGGATTTTGTTGCTCTGGAGACTGCCTGTACCTCTGAGGAGTCTCCCAAAGGAGTGCCTTATGTGACCCTAATATTTCAGGTAGGCTGTTCAAATACACTGTTAAGATTGCTTTTAAATACTTACATATCAAGCAATGTTTCTAAGGGATTCTCTAACAAACAAACAAATAATGTGTGTGTGTGTGTGTGTGTGTTGGACACATTATCTTATCACTCTTATGTCCACTCAGGTTTGCTACAGGTAGACACTTCCCTCCACTTATTTAGCAGTAGCGTCAGTTCATGATCCTCTATCATTTGTATAGAAATTAAGCCATTTTGTTTAAATATTGGTATTACATTTAAAAGTGGTCTGATCAGTTTTTCTTTAGAAAACAGTCATCCCGGAACAACAAAATACTTCCAACCAGATGTATTGAGGAGATGTTTCTGTATAAACCCCTTCAGACACTGCACATCTGTAGTTGCTGAGTGGAATGAGGCCACTCGTCCACTTCATGCTCTTCCTCTGATTCCCACTGGGGAGCGCCAGCATGTGCCCTTATTTCGAATCTGTGCTCCAACCCCTTTTCTCTCCCTTCCCTCGGGCTTTCTGCCTTCTGGACTCCCGAGAGTCGCTGCGCAGGGAGAAGCGGCAGCTGAGTTCAACCTTCATAATTCAGATCCTCCCAGGAGACGGAGAGAGCCTCTTTATGTGTGTACCCTTGACCAAAAGAAGTTTCTAAACAATTAGACTGATTGGAAGCTACGTGCAGTACATTTGTTGAAATAATAATGAGCCTCAGACCAAATTACCTTTGAAAATTACCTTTAAAATCTACCATCAGTTAGAAAGAGACAATTATACTCCTTAATGAGCTTCGTTATTTTTGAACTCAGCAAAGGAGTTTTCCTTTCCCTCTGGATGTACACTGGTACAGAGAGGAACTGGAAACACAGGGAATCCAGGGCGGATACCTGGAGGGTCGGGAGAGGGTGGGGTGGAAAGGGGGAACTGATTACAGGGATCTTCATATAACC